ATGGAATGACCCAAGAGCTAAAAAAAAAAAGGGGGGGGGGAGGAGGAGGAGGAGGAAGACTTCATTGCAGTGCCAAGGAAGAATGAGAAAAACTGAAGCTACTGGTCTGTTGGTTTGGGAAATGTGTAAGCAGTGCTAAGCTGTTAAGAAGTGCTAAGCTGTGGCAGATGAGAGAGAGTATTGATTAGGTTAAATGATGAAGGACTGGTCAGGATTGTGTTGCAGCACTGAAGGTGTGCTATATTAATTTATGAATATGAACTATCCTCTGCCTTGCATGCTTTTTGTCTTTTTCAAATACAGTCTCCTAGGAGTCCACTATAAGCAGGGATTTTCTTTAATATGGTACAGGACTATAATGAAATGGCAGAGCATCTTTTCAGGGGTAGGTGCTTCTTTTCTCAAAATCATTGTGGTTATCTAAAGTTGGCTGACAATATTAATACAATAAAGGCTTCATGAGAATATATTTTTAATATCTTTTCAGTCTAACTCCTTAATAAGTAAAGTTAAAACTAATGAATTTTTATCAGCTCTGGGATAATTCTATTCATAAAAATGTAAAGAAGCTTTCGAATGGTTGAGTTTATTATTTGCATTAAGATAATAGGACCTTATCCCACACTGTTGAGTCTTGCCAACCCATAGGCATTAGTTAAAACAACCAAGGAAAATGCTTATGGGGAGAAAAAATTGTGATATGGGAGATTTTTAGTTTTTGAATGTGTGATTTACTTCTTGATTAAAACTGAGGTTTCTGCTTACAGTCTCCAACAAAATAGATGGCAGTGACATTTGTATCTGTTTTTATTTTCTGGAAACTTTTAATGTACTTGTATAAGGATAACTATTACCCACTTGGTCTCTGTGCATACAAAACATAGGCCACCACTACAACAAAGCTTTAATTTATATATGTGAACTCAAATTAACCGTGAATAAAATCAAGTACAGTTCATCAATAGCCCAAATTAAAAGAGGTTGTATAATGTACCGGTATCGCGTAAATTCTTCACATAATATAGTGCAAGAATTAATCACTAGCCCCCCTCCCCTCACCAAAAAAAAGGGGGGGTTTTCTTTGAGGGAGGACAGGGAGGGGATAGGAAAGGAACTTGATACCCCACTCCCCATATTTTGGGAAGAGGAAGCCCAGGGAATATAAGTTTTAACAGTCCACCTGCTGTCAATAACTACCACTACCTTTGAAGTATCAATATGCACTGTCATGATGCTAGGTTCAACAGTGAAGACTAATCTTAATTACAGGGTACACTAATTGTTTTAACCATGCTGCTTTATAATGTCTTCCTGGCTATACCTTTCCATAAAATGTCACCCCACCACCCCCATTATACAGTCGGCCCTTAACATACGCGGGTTTATAATACACGGATTTGCAAATACGCGGATTGCCCCGCCGGAGGAATATTCTGTACATTGAAGTAATTGAAGTACATTCAAATCGGGCGCCATTCAACTCGCGCGCGGCACCGAACACAGGACACCGCCCGCTCCCGCAACCTCTCACACACACACACGCATAGCTCTCCCTCACTCAGTCAGTCTCGCTGTAACCATGCTTGTGTTGACATCAGCATTGTAGTTGCAAAAATATTACATTTCCGTGAATGTATTATATCAAGCACAGTATGAATAGAATATCACTAATAAAAGAGTATTTTAACCGAAAACTACTAAAAAAACGAGTAACATATCTTGAACATCGGAAGGCTAGGTAAAGTCTTTTGTTTTCATGTAGTTTATCCTAATTTACATTGAAATGCATTACGTTTCAGCAAAACTACTACAGTATTTATTTCTGAGAATATGGAAATGTAATATTTTGCTGAAATGACGTACGTATTACAGTGGAAAGTGACGAAAGCAATGACTCGCTTTCTTTCGTTCAAAAGATGTTACTGTAATCGCTTTTCGAAGGGTTTTCAGTTAAAAAACTGTTGTATTACAATAATATTCTATCCTAATTCACTTGTGATGCAACAGTTTTTTTAACTGAAAACCATTCGAAAAGTGATTACGGTAACATCTTTTGAATGAAAGAAATCGAAAGTCATTGTTTTCGTCACTTTCCACTGTAATACGTACGTCATTTCAGCAAAAATATTACATTTCCGTGAATGTAGTATATCAAGCACAGTATGAATATAATATCATTGTAATATAACAGTATTTTAACCGAAAACTATTAAAAAAACGAGTAACATCTCTTGAACATTGGAAGGTTAGGTAAAGTCTTTTGTTTTCGTCATGTATGTTACCCTATTTTACATTGAAATACATCACGTTTCAGCAAAACTACTATTTATTTCTGAGAATATATTCATTCAGACACAGTTTAGGTAAAATATACATGTGCTGTAACATTTTTTTAATTGAAAACGATTCGAAAAACAAGTACCCTCTAGCCCTGTTCAAGGAGAAGACTGGGAGGAGCTGTTTGGTGCTTAAGACGATGACAAGGAAAATGATTTTGATGGATTTTAATGAAAATATTCAGAAAGACCCTGGCACTGTCAAGGAAAGTGGCTGCTGAAAGCTTCTGGGACATGGCAGAGGACGAGATTAGGGAGCTAATTGAAGAGCACGACACTGAGCTGACCGAGGAGGATCTACAGGAGTTAGTAGACTCAGGCAAGGAAGAGGAAGCGAAAGGGAAAGAGGATGAGGAAGAGCACCAAGAAATAACGTTGGAGAAGTTGGGGGAGATGACCAGGAATATTGAGGCACTGAAAAACCTGGCCTATAGTATGGACCCCTCCATGGTGCGTGCCCTGAAATTCATGCGAGGGATGGATGACGTTTTCGCTCCATACAAAAACATCATGGAAGAAATGAAAGAAAGAGACGACAACTCCCCATCACCATGTTCTTTGATCACCGAAGGAGAGATTTAACACCATCAATCACTGGCGGCAGTGATGAAGCAGCTGAATCCACCGTCGCCCCCACTTCACCACCCGTTATGGAATTGCGTGACGATGAGCCCGATGACCCCCGTTCTGTCGCCGAGGATAGGTACTGTACAGTAAAGTGAAATTTTTATCTCTTTTTTTTTTAATAGCTTTTCTTGCCATGTTTATTGTTTGTAAAAATGCACAGCACAGCACAGTACAGTTCAGTACTGCACATAGGAAGTGGAGGTGCAGTTATTCACAAAACATTTGTGTTCGTTGTCGGCAGTAGTGACGGGGAGGAGGCAGAGGGGGTGGAGGAGGCAGAGGAGGTGGAGGAGGTAGAGGAGGGAGTGAGTTGGGAGGAGTGGTGACCTTGGACGAGTGGAGATGCCAGCCAGTACATTACGGGTGTATTAATTGTTTTTATAGCTATTTTTGCATTTTAATATTAAATATTGTACATTACGTTTCAACAAAACTACCATTTATTTCTGAGAACATGGAAATGTAATATTTTTGCTGAAATGATGTACGTATTACAGTGGAAAGTGGGATAAAATTGTGCCGAAAGCAATGACTTTCTCTTTCTTTCGTTCAAAAAATGTTACCGTAATCGCTTTTCAAATGGTTTTCAGTTGTGGGATTATAAGGCTAATGATAGGATAGAATATTATTGTAATACAGTACGAGTACAACAGTTTTTTAACTGAAAACCATTCGAAAAGCGATTACGGTAAAATCTTTTGAATAACGAAAGAAAGCGAAAGTCATTGTTTTCGTCTTTCCACTGTAATATGTACATCATTCCAGCAAAAATATTATATTTCCATATTTATTTCTGAGAATACCTATATTCATTCAGTCACAGTTAAGGTAAAATATACTTGTGATGTAATATTTTAATGAAAATACCAGGTATTTAGAAATACGGTATCGTAGTTTTCTTTTGTTTCAAATTTAATTAACAGATTGATGTTTCAAATGTAATGAACAAAAATTTATGTACAGAATCTATAAATAAACTTTAAAAAATGAATACTTTATGTTTTACATCGTCCTGTGCATACCATACCATGCATTTGGCTACTTTGGGCTTGCTATGATGACGCAAGAGATCTGCCCTAGCAACTGTACCGACACTCACAGCTGGTGGTGTGTTGGTGTGTCATTTCCATTGTTTACTGGTAGTTACTGGTAAATATTTTTCAACCTAACGAAATATTACCCGTTTAGAGGTCGACCCCCAATTTTTTGCCAAATAATTTGGTCTTAAAAACTTGAACTACACACAGGTATATATGGTAAATAAGGACATGGAGGGACCAGGTTTTTTTTTTGGGGGACATATACGCGGATTTTTAACATCCACGGGTATCTCTGTTACGTAACCCCCGCGTATGTTAAGGGCCGACTGTACCAGTTATTTCCATTCACTCCAATTTTGCACACAAATTTTATTTTAGCTTGTGGGGTCTTAATAAAATATCAAGCTTAATTTCTTTTCTGAACATTTTCAGTCTAAAACGTACTGAAAATACATGATATATTCTTATACTTAAATGATTTGTTTGCTCCTAAATCATGCAAAAACTGTCAAAATAATCCTTGTAGTGGTGTGCAACTACTAAAAAAATTATTAAAAACTATAATCTAGAGGGGAGAGGTGGGGAATGAACAACATTGAGAGAGGGGTATTGTTTCACTAGAGTGGACACAAATTAAAGAGGGGCTCAAGGGCAAACATTAACTTTCACACAAAATACATGGGACCTTACTAGTGAAAAATATTATCAGACAATTATAAAAGTATTGGGCACATTACAGACAGCGATGATGATTGTGATAAACAAAAATATTGATAAAAAATAAGGTAATAATACTTCAAATGGATTATCAATACCTATAAATAAAAATAAACCATGGTTAAAGCTATAAACAAAACATAAGTCCACAAAAAAGCACTAATGGACAAATAATAATGCCTCAGAAAATACTTAAAAAATAATAATTGCTCACTGATATACTGAATGTGAAATCTAGTGAGCAAGAAAGGAAAGAGGCAAGAAAGGTTGTGAGGGATACCTGGGTCGGTGAGGGTGAAGGGAGAGCTGGAAGAAGTAGGGAATGTGATACCTGGCTGGGTGAGAGCTTGGAGTCCCGTGGTGCTGCCACCTGTCATGGCCGCCAGTGATGCTAGGTTCTGCATGTTCATACCCAACCCTGTGCATAGACACACAACACCACCAAAGTTAGTCATGCACACAGACACAAATATTAACTTTGTAGGAAGGTTTGTCAAGTTAAAATTGTGACCACATGAAAGGATATGCTTCATATCTATGGTGAAGGATATCAATGATATACTGTACAATTTCAAGCTTTAGGAAGAACATCAGGTTGCTGATGTTTCCTCTAAATACTGATGAACTGTGTCCCTACATATATACTAGTGAATCCCCACAAAAATAATACACACACAACTTCATTCAATCATTTGTGTGTGTGCACGTGTGTGTGTGTCACTAAATTAACTACAACAATTGTAAGGCTTCCTGATTATGTAAAATATGTAATGGGAATTGATCGAAACAATCTTCTGAATACTAATACTGTACTGTGAAAACTACTCAAGATGTATAAAGATCAGATGCAGGTATTCTTTCCACATATATTTTTTTTACTTTGAACAAGGTCAAAATCCATTATGTTAATATCAAAATATCAACATAGTGACCCCTCACATAAACCTGGCAAAATGTTTATACAGTACACTTCATGAGTACAACCATTACATATGTGAGAAATAAACATTATATGTACCCAATGCATATTTACTTCATACATATACATACTGTACTGATGTAAAAACCACAATGGCGATTTTCACACAAATTAATTCACTTCTCATGGAATAATCTTAGATATTAAATATATTAAAAATTGTAATTCAGAGCATTAACAGAAAGAATTATTCCATGTTTTTAATATTATTACCACTTCCCTCCCATTTAACATACATGTAATGCACCAAAACCCCAAAGCCACGAACTGAAAACTTGAGCAACTATTATACTGTATATTCTAAAGTTTTGTGAATTCAAGGAACAATTTCACTGTTAAACACTTATACAGTACATTTAGTAAAGTTGAAACACATGATGAAAAATTACAAGATAAAGCTACAGACCTACTGTAGATGAATGGAAATAACAATATTGAAAACACAAGCAACTTCATGTGTGTTCTAGTAGCATCCCTGTGGCATGAGAGATGTTTTCCCAGGATGTACAGTTGGGGACAAAAGTTCGCTTCCCGTGGTGAAACCGTGTCACGGGAGTGAGTCTCAAAACTTACTTACCCTGACTGTTTCAACTCATTTGGGATAGATACCAATTCATTTTGAGCGGGAGCAAACTTATGACCTCGACTGTACATAAGGGAATATGAAAACTGCTATGTGCAACCACATAAATGCAATTGAACTTCTGCATATCCTTGATGTGTTACCACCCTTATTTCATTTATGCTGATCTATTTCTTGTGAAATCAGTATAAATGAGTGACATTATGAGGAGGAGGGTTTCAAGGATCTACAGTTTAATGTGGAAAGAGTGTTTTGTCAATTTTAACTGCGTCTTGGCTTGGAGATGCAGAGAACATGTCCCCTGGTGCGTGCTTGCTTTTGTATTAAATTTTTTTGACTGTTTAGGCTCTAGGTATTTTTAGAATCTTAAAGATTTCTGTTATATTTTTAAAAAAGCCTGTCTTTCAATTTAGGGTTCATTAGGGATCAATTTTTTTTGTATAAGGTAGTCGCATTGGAATGGAAACCAGCTTAAGGATAAATCTCTGGATATTTTCAAGGACCTTCTTGTGATTTTTATAAGTGTGATGACCACACTTAAACATAATACTCTAGGTATGGAAACCTAAACATTTTGTTAGGAAGGTAAAGCCTTGTTAATCTCTGGTAGAAGTTTCGCTTTAGGAATACAAATGTTTCATTTACTTCTGCAGTAATTATACCCGAGTGATGTAAAAGCTTAAGGTTTGTAGTCATGAAAATGTTTAAGATCTTCTCTTATACTGTATCTCCACTAAAATGGGTTGTGGTTTCCAAAGTACAAGGACTTGTACCAGCCACATAAGAGAAAAACTAATGTGCAGACTAAATCTTCATTCTTTTCATAGCATGACCAGGCTGACCAGTAGCTTTTCATATTCCTTATATGTAATATATCATAGAAAAACATCTCTCATGCCACAAGGACACTACTAGAACACACCTGAAGTTGCTTGTGTGAAAATGAATGTTCTACAGAGCTTGTGTACAATTCACAAAATCCTCAGGCTTTCTAAATTGGGTTTAATGATTTGGAAAAAGCTGATGTGGTAGAGCTGCTGGAGTCTCGTGTGGATAAGATATCTTAAATGAATTTGGTAGAGCTGACAGCTAAAGGAAGATGTCACTGCAAAGCAAAAAGAAGTTACCCTACAACAGAATCAGCTGGCGGCGAAGAAGTTGGGTTGTTAACTCTCGCTAATTGACCAAAAGATCTTGGAAGAGATTGATATAAATCCCAAAAGGAAGCAAGATCTGCATATTGTAATCATGATAGCATCAATTGTTTCCACCTTCAGGGAGCTGTAGAGAAGCAATGTGTGCGTGAGAAAACGGTCAACTTTAACTGTTTTTAAAGACCTCTTTCCTAACTTGGATTGGTGATAGCACCTCCAATAACTCTGACAGCACATAAGCTCCCTCTATGACTTCAGATTGCAGCAGCAGTAACCATTATTACACCTGAACAGTTCTCTTCACTTAACGTGACCCTATTGCTACATAATGATGACCTTACAACACCACCACCTCATGAAATCACTTGATTCTCAACACTCATCTAATGGCTGCCTCTCCTCAAACAGGAAACCCCCAGAATGTATTGGTGAATATAGTACACTGTCTTATAATGTTCATTCAATGAAATTTACACAATATATTTATTAATAGGCTATTGGCATATGCATGAAAAAAATATATATTTTATGAATGCAAACTTGTTCTCTGATACCAACTAAAATGGTAAGTCCTCAGGACATAACTCTTGCCAGGGCCTCATAAATATTTTGCAAGGCTTTATGACTGTTCTCTTGTGTAATTATTATTGTAATCTACACCACTTCTGTGTACCTTTGTGCTGACACTTTTATCAAGATTCTAGAAAGAAACAGCTTCTACTTTCCCTCCTTTTCATCTGTTCACTCGATGCTATGCTCTTTTATCATTCACATGTTCTACACATTCATTTATGTCCATCCTGCTCATATCCAATTACAGTACTACTTTTCTTCCTTGGTCTTTGCTCTCTTCCTCCTCCCATCCACTTATAAATTACACACTTCTTTTACTTTCCATTCTCTTAATATGTCCATACAACTTCAGCAAACCCTGGTCACCACTCTACGTAGCACTTCTTTCAATTTTACATTATTATATTTCTGCATTTCTTATTCACAGCACCTTACTCAACCCACCTATTGCTTTCAAGCATATAAAATCTGATTCTTTAATTTGCATTTTTTCCATCATCCATTGCTTTACTCTTATAATATCATGTCAGCTCAACAACTTCTCTATACATCCCCAAATTTGGATCCCTGGACAAAGCCCTCTCTCTCCATTTGTATGTTATGAACCAAATATTGTCTTTCCTCCTCCTACTCTATGATTGAATTCAACCCCAATTGTGCCATAGCTGTGACTTCCACTCTGAAATATGAAAAATACCTAACTCCCTCCATTTTATCTCCATTCAAGCTGGCATTCATATCTCCATATATCCCTTCTCTACTCAATTTCATTACTATTTATTCACATTAACTATTAACACTCATCTAGTAAACACTCATTCAAACTTATTCACTTTTCTTTTGAATTGCTTAGGCATCAGATCAGTGTCATCTGAAAACAGCAGTGAGCCTACTTCCCATTTGGAACTTGCTCCCTTCTCTAGTACTCTTGCTCTCTTATATCTTACTAAACTATCCATACATTACTCCTGTACTTGTTAAGCTCCATTTATCAGTAACCAATTTCCCTCTTCTCTGACACATTCTTCACTCTCCAAATAAAACCTCTCAACAGCTTCAACAAAATCCCAATCATCCCACACAATTTTAATATTACCCACATTGTTTTCTATCTACTCAATCATAAGCTTTATTTACAGCCAAGAATGTCACTAAATAAGTATATAAAAAATATGTACAGCCACACCCAGAGCTTATGTAAAGTAAGCACACCAATGTACCCTCCAGCACACATTCATTATAAAAATATTACTAAATTGTATAAATCACCACTGTCAATACAAACCAAACAGTATTTAAACATTTCAATAGATATTTAAATAATGTAATGTGTAAATATACAGAGTATTTAGTACAGTACAGTATCCCTAAAACTCTGTTCATCCTAGACACACACGTGCCAATGTAGCTCCCATAGTCAACTTGGGGGTGTGATAGTGGAATTATGCTCAGCAAATTTGTTTTTATATAAAAAAAGAATACTGTAGTGTACATTGTAGCACTTAATCTACTACTGACTGTACTTTATATTAATCTTTCCATGGTGCAATGTCTTTTACTTTTTGTACTGTATATACATGTGTGGCCAACAGGGGTTTTGGTGGAGGGGCTTAGAATGTATCCCCTTATTTTCCATTGAAACAATGGTTTGCAAATGCCAATTTCACTAATGATGTGATTCTTCAGGAATGCATTATGTGTCAGCATTTACTTAGGACAACTGTATATACCAAAAAATTTCAAACTAATTTCATAGGTACAGTATAAATCTTAAATACTATGAGAAAATTACAACATATAATAAAGTATGAGTTGATCTTCTAAGTTCTTCACATTAAATTGAAATTCACTATGATACAGATATTAGTAATCCTTGCAGCCTTTAATTTGCAGCATGTAAATTATCAGTGTTTAACTTATGGTCTAAGTGTACAAGGATGCACTGAAAAATGAGACCTGGAGGTTTCTTTTGTCGGTAAAAATTCTATCTACTGTCATGAAAATAGTCTACATATAACATTTCAACTCAAAATGATAGTGAAAGCTTTAAGTTGTGCAGCACTACCAAGACATATAAATATAAATATGGAAAAAGTCATGCAGAAATATAAAATGAGATTTCTGTAATGATTTGTTGATTACCTGTGTTTTGTGAACTCATAGAAGCTAGTAGACCCTGAAGGTTGGTCTCTTGTGAGCCATTAGTAGAAGTGGGTAAGTTGAGACTGCCGAGAGACCCGAGACCACTCAGACCTAAGGAATGAGAGCCTGTTGATGAATGAAGACAACCAATTAGATTTTTTTTACCTTATGCAAATAAATATTACAATTGGACAATTATCGATGCTCTTCACTTTTCATTAAGGGTAATACTTTGTGTTATGACATACAGTAAACCCCCGATATAACAGACTAATTAGGGGAAAGGCTGGTCCGTTAAAGCCCAAAGTCCATTGTATCCAAAATAATAGCAGACTCTGTCCGTTATGTACTGTACCAACATAGTCCGAAGTTACCACGTGGGTCACTTTTCACCACCAACACTCACCATCACAACCGACATTCACCACCACCAACACTCACCATCACCACCGGTGTTCACCAACATTCTCCATCACCACCAATACCAACACTCACCATCACCACCGGTGTTCACCAACATTCTCCTTCACCACCAACACCAACACTCACCATCACCAGCAGTGTTCACCATCACCACCAACACTCACCTTCACCACCAATATTCACCTTCACCACCAACACTCACCTTCACCACTAACAATTGACACCATCACTAACATTCACCAACACTCATCACTACCAACACTCATCATCACTACCAACATTCACCAACACTCACCATCACCACTAACACTCCCCACCAACTCTCACCATCACCACCACTCTCATTTCACCACCAACATTCGCTACTACTACTAATTTGCTGTCACTCGGAATCGAATATGACAATCATCCAGCACTCGCCATCATCACTAACATTCACCACCACCACGACTCACCATCATCACCAACACTCACAATCACCACTACTAACTGGTGTTTACAGGATGACAACGTGTTCAAACTGGGGCAACGGAGTGGCAGCCTGCTGGTTAGCAGAATAAACAAAGTCACTCTACACAGTACTGGTTGGTTGTAAGTGGTGGGGGCAGAAAATGATGCATAATAATGACCGCTGCACTGCCAGAATGGCCTTCCCTAAAAAAAAAAACACTTGACATTATGTTCTCTATTCATTGACCCATATTGCTGCTCCCTTAATGTTCCACCTTCTCCTCCTCCTCCTCACTTCTAGAGCAGCCTTTACCCCATCTCCTTGTTCTTTCCCTTCCACTATACAGTACTATCCACTTTCAAATTACTGTACATACTGTCAACATTCTATCACTTCCAATTCTCACAATGTGTTCTACGCAAGACCTTGATATACTCTTTCCCAACACTTCTTTCACTTAGGCATCTCTTCCTTATTTCTCTACTTCTTATTCCGTGCATCCTATTACCCCACATACTGCTCTTGAAGAAATTTGTTTTTCACCTCTGATCTGCTCTTTCAGCTCTATACATGAGAGCATATTCTTAAATGCTAATGATATATGAAAGGTAAAAAAAAAAGAAGGGGGAAATTTACCAATTTCGGGTTATGTGGGTATGTGTGAGGAAGGAGGGGGTGTATCAATAAAGGATTTGGCAAAAATGACGGACGCATAGTGTGTGGGGTAACAATCCTGTAAAAAAAACTATGCTGTTACTAGGAATGGCCAAACAAGATTCCGTACAGTGGTCCCTCGATTAACCAACGGTTCAATTAACGAAATTTCGGTTAATGAATTAGCTCCCAGAAGGATTTTCAATTCCATTTACGAACAAAACTTCGATTAACGAAAGCCTTAGGAGAAACACACTTTGTTGTGAGCATCAGCCGATCAGCTAGTCCGCCAATACAGTAATCGGATCTATGTTTACATTCATTTCCAGTGGAGTAAATACAGTATCAAGAAAGTTGGTCTCTTGAATATGTTTGCATTTTTTATATCAAAATTATTGGTCATTCTGAAATTTAGTTAACATATTGATAATATACAGTGCAGAAATTATTATGAAACATGAAGGCATTAGAACCAATGCACTCTGTAAAGATGGCATGTCATCAATGATTGCCTCTACAATCAGCTGTTTGATATGTAAACAAAGCTGCCGGGAATACGACATACACACCTTAAAGTAAGTTAAAATACAGTAGATAAAGCTTCCGATAACAACGGTTCGACCAACAACTTTTCATATTTAAGACCCTAGTTAATTTAGGACCATCAACTTCAGCTACACTATCAAATTCAGCATCATAAGCAGCTTCAACATCAACTTCAGGTTCAGTAACGGTTTCAGCAACAGCTTTATGGAAAGCTACAGCTTCAGCCCGAGTTGAACCTACAGCTTCAGCGAGAGTTGAACCTGATAACTTCGTCATCTGAGTAAAAACTCGCACAATATTCATTGGCTGTCCTTATGTTTTTGACTTTACCACTATTGGTGAGTAGAATTTTTGTTTTACATTCGTAAATATTATTTAAAACATATATGAACAGTAAATAAGTGTTGCTTTCATATTCATATGGAGAGAAATGATGATATGTTTTCACATATACTCACTTAGTTCATACGTTGGGGTTCCCAATCGTCTCACTTTATTTCTTTACCATTAATGGTTAACTACTTCTAGTGTTCCATTTATTAACATTAAATAACATTGCTTAAAACATACATACAGGTATTCAATTTTTTTAAATTAAGTTCACTACAGCTACAACCAGGGTTTTATTTTCTTCGGTTTCTTATGTAGAACCATCGTCACTCACGAAAACAATGCCGTCTTGTCTTCTCGTTTGTGTTTTAATATTCTATGTATTAATAATGAATTGCATTGTTCATTTCACATATACAGTATAAACATTATATGAACATTAATTCAATCAAATACATATTCAGTAATAAACAATAATGAATCTTTTGTACATATTCTTAAGATAAATGACGCTATGTATCCTTGAGTGCGCATGTATACATTGGCATTCCACTATCAGTCACACATTTTCTTTAATATCAGTGATTACTTCTACTGTATATTAAATAACATTAATTAAAACACATATTTTTTACATTAATTTTACTACAACAACAACCAGGGTCTTATTTTTTTTCAGTTTCAGGTGGATAACTGACATTATGGGTGTAAACACTGACAACAATGCCGTCTCTTATCCTCCTGTGTGTTTTAATAAAAATATGAATTATTAATGAATTGTATTGTTCATTTCACATATATAAAGATTAATTCAATCAAATACATATTCAGTAATAAACAATAATGAATCTTTTGTACATATTCTTACAAAGATAAATGACGCGGTATCCTTAAATGCGCACATATATATGTCGGCGTTCCCAATCCATCTCTTTTTTTCTTTGCCATTAGTGGTTAGCTACTTCTATTGTTCCATTTATTAACATTAAATAATGTTACTTAAAACATATACTCTACTGTATATTCATTTTTTTACATTAATTTTACTACAGTTACAACCAGGGTCTTATTTTCTTAATTTTCTCGTGTAGAACTATCGCCCGGACTCCCGGCTGTAAACACAAACGAAAACAATGGCGTCCCATCTCCTCTTGTGTGACCATATTATTATTCATTTATATTGTATAAGGTGCATTCAGAAACATTATTTGAAGAATATTGTTTGAAATTTTGATTAATTGTATTGTTTTTGGGTGGGGGGGGAAGAGGGTAAAAAGCCACACAAAAGATATGAAAAGGTCACACTTGGGAACGCATCTCATTATTATTGCTTTATTTTAATGGTAATTAATGATTCGCGATACGATGATTCACCTTACACTGCAATATTGGAGGACACATTACCGTCGTTATTTGAGGCTTTACAGTATTCTATTGTTTTTAATTTATTAATGTACAGTGCTGTATTCAGTTTATATTTAATGTTTTGTTAATTCTATTAGCAGTATACAGTACTTTATATGTATACTTTTTCTGTGAGTTGGAACCAATTGCCCAATATCCCATTGAAATAATAGATTCAGTCAACGAAATTTTCGGTTAACAACCAACTCTGTGGAACCAATTGTGTTCGTTAATCAAGGGACCACTGTACTTTAACTTTTGATATCTTATCTTTAGACAATAGTAGATAACTTCTGATTGTTTATCTTTAGACAACAGTAGATAACTTGATGGTTTATCTTTAGACACTAGTTGACAACTTCTGATTGTTTATATTTAGACAATAGTAGATAACTTCTGATTGTTTATCTTTAGACAACAGTAGATAACTTGATGGTTTATCTTTAGACACTAGTTGACAACTTCTGATTGTTTATATTTAGACAACTTCTGATTGTAGACTTGATGGTTTATCTTTAGACACTAGTAGAAGACCAACATACTGTATAATATGTGCCTTTCTAAATGACAGAAATATGTTAGAAAAAAACAAAGTGCAACATCATTCATCAACAATCAGTGACCAATAACAAGATTGTCAGCATTACAGCAAGAGGTTACCTGAAATACTCCACCAGTTTATCAAGAAACCACTCTAGACTAAGAAGTACCTGTTGAGTCGAACATCTGTTGAGTGGCCAAGTTTCCTTGTGAGGCCGCCAAGAGCTGCTGTACACTAACATTGTTTAGGGAAGGCAGTTGCTGAAGACTGCCGAGTTGATTTGCGAGACTGCCAGCTGTTGCACCTGAACCAGCTGTGCTGCCCATCTGCTGCTGGAGCAACTGTAAGTACGCCTGAACATTAAACAACGTTAATTTATAATTTTAAGCTCCCATATCATTAGAGTGAAAATAAGGGAGTATTTGTAAAATAAATAAAAGAATAAACAAATACATAAATAAATAACAATTCATAAAATAAAAGGAACATAAACGTAATCAATAATAAGTAGGTCCAACAGTTAAAGTAAGAAAATCAAGAGACAATAAAAATCAGTTAACACATTATCTGAGTACATTGGTTACTTAGCTATTTCATTGAATATCCTGAATATGAACTCTTGAATATTCAAAATGCAATATTTTCTCACGAGAATGTAAGGTGGCTGGAAGTAAGAGCATGTGCACACACACAGGTATATATTCTCCCTTTATTCACGGTCATACATTCACTCTTTATGTCACAACAAATGTGTTCTGCTGTGGACCTCCCCATTCATAACAATGCTCTAAATGCCCATCATGTTAACTTGCCTCTTCACATAAACTAGCATCACCCATCAGAAGCACGTCCATCCCTAATAATAATTCAACACCATGCTCTCCATTCATTCTTACCAACTGCTGCTTCCCGGATGGCTATACCCCTGACTTCTAATGTGTCTATACCACTCCTCCACTTCCTTCTGGATCTTCCCCTTTCCTTCCAACCATGTGTATTACACAACTTTCTTTTAAATTTTCCCTTCGCCCTCCTACCATTGTCCTGAAAATTGTACAAACTTATGACCAATACTTAATATAATTTCCTATTCCCCCTACATGTCTATTCCACCTGAGCAGACCTTTTCCATACAGAGGTACTTCCTATTTTCTGTAATTCTTACTCTGTATCCTATTCACCCTGCAAGTTGTCCTAATGCAAGAAATTTTTGTTGCATCCAATTTGCTCCTTCTTCCTGGGTCATGAGTCCATGCTTCACACCCGATTCAAAATGTTAACTCAACAATTTCCCAGTACACCTCCATCTTTGCCTCTTTATATATGGTAACTCCCATTTCTCATACTTTTCTAAATCCATGTATTTTATTTCCTTATTACTATTTAGTTAAATTTATTGCTTAATGTTCCCATTGTTGACACATCCACTTTCGTATATACATGTACAGTGGTCCCTCGGTTAACGAGCGGTTCGATTAACGAAATTTCGGCTAATAAATTAGCTCACATAAGGATTTTCAGTTCGATTAACAAACAAAACTTCGATTCACGAAATCCTTACGACAAACACATCTTGTTCTGGGCATCAGCTGATCGGCTAGTCTGCCAATACAGTAATTGGTTCTATGTTTACAATCATTTCCAGTGAAGTTAAATATCAAGAAAGTTGGTCTCTTGAATATTTCTTCATTTATATATATAAAATTATTATTGGTCATTCTGAAATTTAGTTAACATATTGATTATATACAGTGCAGAAATTATGAAACATGAAGAAGGCATTAGAACCAATTTTAAACAAACATTTTGCATACAGTACAGTACTGTATTAAGATTTATACACCTGATCCATTCAGTAATTACCGTACTTATAAAAGATTACACAAACAGAAAATGATACACAAGAGTTTAGATACATGATGATGTAGTAGTACCTGATAACCCATATTACATGAGAAACAAAAATATACAAGTTTTCTAGGCAAATTTTTTTTTTTATTATTTATTCCCCTGGTGTTTCTTGTTTGTGTTAACAAAATAATTTGTGAAGGAATTGTCTTACACACTGTTGGTAAGTACTGGCTCCAGATTGTATCTGTACCTGTGCTAGCATTGGTCAGGACTGGTCTTGAATGAGCTCACACTCTGTCATTACAACACTATCTGGCAGATTGTTCCAAGAGCTTACAATTATCACCCTGGAAAAAGTTTGCCGTGACAATTTTCCGAACTTGTGGTTTCTTCAACCTTAAGTTGTGACCACTTGTGGGGCGGGTATCCGTCAGCTCCAGGTATGAACACTTGATGGAGTAATGCCCTCAGAGATATCTATAAACTTCAATTAAGTCACCCCATGCCCAACTATAGTACAGTTTAAGCTAGGACACTGCAGGCATTCTAATCTCTCTGGGTAACCGAGGTGCCGTAGGACAGGCACCAGTCTGGTGGCCCTCTTTTGAACTTTTTCAATCAACTGACAGTCTTTGGCATATCTCTGGGACCAGCCGGGGTGAAAGTACTCCAAATGAGGAAGCACCTCACTCTTGACGAGCATTTCGATTTTGTGTGCCTTTGGGTTCGACTTGACCTCGCTTGCAATCCGCCTCCGAAACTCTTTTCAGCTGTTCTGCTCTCCGACTTTGCTTTGTTCCAGGTCCTGGCATACATTCTCCTGTCCTGCTCATCATTTGTCGTAACCCACCTCTTGAATTTACGAGATTTTTTTCATAATTTGGTCAAATGCCGCATAGTTCATCTGTAACGATCTCCTTGTATTCCTAGAGCCAGTGGGTTTGGTCTTGGGTATATATTCATCAATCAAATACAGGAACAGTAGTTCACTTTACTGGCTATGATATTCAGCGTAGTATTTGCGTTCTTGTACCCGAACCAATCTAGAATACATTCACCTATTATTTTAATTACAGTATTCCCTGCTGGCAAACATTGTATGTGCATATCAGTGTTCATGAGTGTTAATGTGTTTATGTTGAGATGTTAATGTGTGTATGTCTGTGTTGCGATGTTAATGTGTTTATGTCTGTGTTGAGATGTTAATGTGTGTATGTCTGTGTTGAGATGTTAATGAGTGTATGTCTGTGTTGAGATGTTAATGTGTGTATGTCTGTGTTGAGATGTTAATGTTTGTATGTCTGTGTTGAGATGTTAATGTGTGTATGTCTGTGTTGAGATGTTAATGTGTGTATGTCTGTGTTGAGATGTTAATGTGTGTATGTCTGTGTTGAGATGTTAATGAGTGTATGTCTGTGTTGAGATGTTAATGTTTGTATGTCTGTGTTGAGATGTTAATGTTTGAATGTCTGTGTTGAGATGTTAATGTGTTTATGTCTGTGTTGAGATGTTAATGTGTTTATGTCTGTGTTGAGATGTTAATGTGTTTATGTCTGTGTTGAGATGTTAATGTTTGTATGTCTGTGTTGAGATGTTAATGTTTGTATGTCTATTAACTCAAACAAATAGGAATGGTTTTGAGAATAATGTGATAAGAAAATACCTACTGTATATGTGATAACAAGATCTAAGTTAGGCCAATAAGCAGTACATTCTGTAACTACTTGGAAGATTTATCATCCATTAAACTTTGTTCCGGTGCAAAAAGGGTGTTTAGCCAACTTTAATTTTCAAACAAGAGTTTGATCAGCAAGATGACTGAAGATTTTGGCACCTCTAGAAGCCAACTTTGTTTCCAATTTTTTCTTAAAATAAATGTTTATGAGTCATTACTTACTGTACCATTAGCATCAAGATGAACATCCTCAACAACATTTACTGACTCCAATAATCTTTGCTGTCCATTCCATTAATGAGAAATATCTCCAAGACTCTTTAACAAAATAATTACTGCATATCCTCAGCCTCAAGCAAACCATAATTGATTCCAAATATAAAAATTATAATACACCATGGATTATTGTAGTGCTGTACCAATATTACTAACATTGAGTAAAACTAAAATTTATCCAAACCAAATCTGACCGTTCTGCAAAATGTGCACAAATTATGTTAATTTGTTTTTAAAGTTAAGCTAATTCTATTTTGGAAATTAATGTTCTTTAGTGAACTGTTTTCTATTACAATATCAACACAGTAAACAAGAATTATGTAGTTTTGGTTAGCTTTATATTCAAAAAGACAAATAGAGCTTTTTATGTTTTCAATAAAATACTGTACATTAAACGTAGAAACTTGAGTACAGTACTGTAATTAAAAGCATCATGATATATCTTACATTAAAACAGTACTACATAAAAAAAAATGTGGGAGGTTCTTCTTGTACCACCGTATTAAGTACAGGAAAGGGTAACATGATATGAGAGAGAGAAAGTCATGTTGCTTTGTGGTTCTCTTACATAATGCATAAAAACATGTAAACATATAAACTTGCTAATTTTCTAACTCCTTGTACAATGATGTATTGATATTTTTTTTAGTTTTAGTAACTTTTCCTTGAGAGACTAGATTATTTAAATTTTAAATACCCTGTATCTAGAAACATTATTTACTAACTATTTTTGGTCTTTCCAGCGCTCTTCATAATTCTGTTAACTTCTGACAGCCTAAAACTGAGTATCTCTAAGTAACACACTTTCTTCTGTTAGTTATCTTTTCAGGCATTGTGAAATATTAAGTTTAACATGTAAATGTCACATCATGGGTTCCAAGAGTTCTTTGTCAAAATCATTTTGTAGATAAGGGTAAGATAAAACCACTTAACAAAAGGTATACAGTTTGAAACACCTTCAACCAAGAGTGTTCCTAGGGCTGCCTCAAAATTTGGCATAAGAGAAAAGAGAGTTTATAATATTCGTAACTAAAAAAATTAACTTCTTAAATTTCATGCTTGTCCAAAAAACAACTTGGCTAAGGAAAAGCAGAAACACATTGCATGGCATAAGGATGCTCCTTTTCAACGATAGTACAGTTGTACATGCAAGTGATTCAAGCATACACGCATTCATAGGTTATTTTGAATGAGCTATTGCTGACAGTAAAAGAGAAGGAACACCATACAAGTTCAACATTATGGAAAGCTTCCCAGTTTTCATCAGGTAGGTTAACATGTTTGAAGTGTTGCTGTGAAACATATGTATACTTTCTGGTGAGGAGGCTTCAGCATTGGGATTAAATCAAAAGAAAAGACAGGTTTACCATGTCAAAGTGAAAGCATCAGCTTTGGCTGCTTATTATCAGCTGGACTACTAGATCCCAGACATTAAAAACATAACAATGCTTCCCACACATATCAGAACAATGAAGACAACTTTGATAATGCAACAAATATCCCAAGAGTAGTTTGGTAATCACTTTTGCACGGAGACAAAGGCAAATTTTATGGTACAGTGATGTGTTTGTGTGTTCACTTAATGTATTAACTGTCGTGTTTCTGGCCAACCACTACATGGTGCCAATTAGAAAAAACTGATTGTCCCAAACTCTGCAAAAAAAAATTAATCGTATACAAGTTCTATAAGAGCCTTTAAGCTCAAAGGACCAGGTTCTGTTATAATTCCTATATACTGTAGTAAGAACTTACTATATTCAATAATTTTAATGATATATATATATATATATATATATATATATATATATATATATATATATATATATATATATATATATATATATATATATATATATATATATATATATATATATATATATATATATATATATATATATATATATATATATATATATATATATATATAACACACACGCCACACACACACATATATTACATTGAACCCTCACTTTACGCGGTCAATTGAACCCACGGCAGCCTGCGTAAAGTGAACAACATAACATATGGGATTAATTGAAATAGAGACCGGGCTGACCCCCAAACTCCACTTTTTCAGACACAATACCTACGTTGTAGTAAAAATAATTTCTTAATTTTATGATGGTATGCACACACAATTAATAATTAAGAGAAATATCAATAATATTAGGTTTTTTAACACTTACATTAGTAGAAAAGATGGCTGGGCACACGGGGATGGGGGTTGGTTCCGAGGCAGAGGGCAGATTATTGGCCCTCACCTGTATCACTTGTATCAATTGTATCACTATCCACCACAGAGGCTTGCAGGGCCTCTTTGTCAAACCCCTCAAAGTCCATATAAGTCCATATCCTCACTATCATTATCACTATCACTGACTTGGGCCGGCTGTGGTGGGTGGCGGGTGAAGAACTCGGTAATGTTTTGATGACTGGGCGACCTTGTGCGCACCCTGCTCGCGCCGCTCTCCGCGTAAAAGGGTACACACACCGCGGAAAGTGAGCATTCGGTTTCGCAGGGTACAGCGTGAAATGAAAGCGTAAAGTGGGACAGCGTAAATGAGGTTGATATGTATATATATATATATGTATATATATATATATATATATATATATATATATATATATATATATATATATATATATAAAGCCATGATCGATATTTTATATTGTACTGTACCATTCTAGTAGACGTCATGGACTTTCATACCAAAGACTATGAAAATGAGACTATTTACAGTTTCAATGACCAAAAATATTTAAATGTAATGAGAAACATATTATTCCAAAGGACACCATTCAATCACACACACTTCACTGTTGTCTCAATGAGCCCAAAATGTGAAAAGAAATCATGTATCACCAAGAAATGTGGAAGTGCATAAATGGTGGCTATAATTTTATATTTGGTGACAACAGAAGTTTTTTGATTTAGTACTGTACAACCTATGAACCAAAATACTATTAAAGCTATAAACAAATCATAAAAACTTAAGGAACAAAAAGTGTAAAAGGGAAAACCATAATTTTCCCTAAATTATAATTATATCCCATCTCTGTATAAAACCTTCATTAAAGATTAATATCCAAATAATCTATTGAGGTTTCTATATCTTCATAACCATACATGAATTTTTTATTTATATATTTAAATAAGCAAATGCACAACATACTGTACACAACAGTAATATTTATTTCTAACTTCAATTAATTTCAACACTGAAATTTTCTGTTAAAGGGGAAATTATGAAAAACTATTAATTCTTGCAAATTATTACTCTACTGTATATGGATAATTATTGGTGTCCATTAAACAGCAGCTAGCAAGTATAATAGCTACAGTACTGTATTAAGTTACTTCATTAATAAAATTCAGCATAAAACATCAAGGATGATAATTAGGAGTCTGGAAACTGCATTTCTTTACAAACACAACTACATTGACATGTACTGTACACAGTAAATATTCAAAGATGATTTATACTGAAAAGTCACTGAATAATATCAAAACTATATGCATTGATCTGGAATTCATGCGTTTGCTTTACAAAATGCCAAAAAATTTACAAAAAGTAAGAAGCAAAAGGTTTAGCAGGTTTCCACACTCTTGAGTAACACTGAAATACAACATAAAAAAAAGGCAAATTCTATTAGCACCCAATTTTAAAGTTAATATCATGCATTACACCATGGATGATCATGAACTAGCAGATTTTTAACTTTTTTTATTTGCATTATCTATTTAAAAATTGTATAACCACTTAAAAATCCAAAATCTATGTACACCACAAAAAAAATGCGGAACAGCTCTATATTGCTTTTACATATTTTTTTTTTGAACACAGAAAACAAAATGCAAAAAGAGCATCACACTCACAGCCAGATATTGAGGCCCAAGTGCGACCAGGTTGTTAGCAGAGGAAACGCTCTCTCTTCCGCGCTCTCTCTCTCTCTTCAAGCAGACAGAGAAATACTTAGCAATAATCATCCCTATTTCAATAACTCTACTAGAAATTTCAAAAGATATGACATCACTGTGTATGGGTTAGAGTACACGTATTTAAAACCATTTTACACTGATAAATTTTATAAATTATTGTAATGATGGAAGTAGAGCATCCTCAGTTACCCCAAAGCAATCATTATAATAATAAAAAAGAAAAATTAATTAAAGAAAAATGCATTTGGATAAAAAACCTACAAAAAATTAGTACAGAATTTCAATTCAAGTTAAGGGTATCAAACATACCTTGATGTAGGGAAAGTCAATATGACTTGCATATTTCCATATTATTCCATTATAAAATAAAATCCAAAGATACATAGAAATACAGTAACTCTTTCAAAATATATGTTCTTGATAATGTATGTTGTGTTGTATAGCACGAAATCCAGAGAGCAACAATGTTTATACAGTACAGAACTTGTATATCCATCCCAATGATATTATGATCATCATTACTTGAAACTACAATAGCTTTTCATATAATGAAATTTTTTTTATCCTTCTTGACTGTAATACTGTTCTATAAACACTGTACTTTATATAAGCAGTTGCAGCCGGTTTAATAAACCGTTTATTATTATTATTACTTTTAGTACAATGTTTATACAGTATTTACTCTTATTACAAAATACTGTAGCTGGTGCTAATACTACAGTACTGTAATTAAAATTCATACTGTAATATACTGTTAAGACATATGAAGAATGAGAGGCTTGTATACTGTATAAGCTCTCAATATCCTTTTTATCTGCATAACTTTGCAGTTAAAAACAGAGAGAAAATCTGTAAAATCTCCTCAATTTTATTAATTATCAGCTTCTTATCCAATTAGAGCACATGTGAAACTAATTACTCCATTGTACTCCAAAAAAGAGGTATGAAACTATGGAGATTCCTTATGACATGCTAACAGGCTTTAAATAATTCCTAAGCTCAGGCAGGTTTAGCTGAAATTCACCTTGATTTTAAGCCCAAGATCATGTTGTATCTATTTAGGGATCTTCCCTAGTTCACCTTAAGCTGCTGTCTACCTGTCTCCAGTATTTAAGTTATTACCTATCATCACAGTCGTTTTATGTCCTTTCTATTACAGTATGCATTACGAAGTCTTAAATTCCTATGTAGTTTTCTATTCAGCAGAAAAACTTTTTGTATCAGGTTTTCTATGGATATCCTATGTGTTCTACCTCATTCATTCTCTCACTCACATGCTCTGAGCTATAGAATGAAGGAAACATAAAAGGTAATATTTCTATAAGAGTTCAGCAGTAAGAAGATGGAAAAACATTAGCAATGAAATGTCTCCTCTTTCATTCCATCTGCTGTTTTTATATGCAATCAATACCACACTCACAGCGAGGTACTGTGGGCCAAGTGCTGCAAGGTTGTTAGCCGAGGCAACGTTCCATAGGTTGTGAGTCACTTCATGGAGATGTTTTGCATCCTTCTCTTTTTGGGTATCAGGCAGGTTTAGCTGAAATTCACCTTGATTTTAAGCCCAAGATCATGTTGTATCTATTTAGGTATCCTCCCTCGTTCACCTTAACCTGCTGTCTACCTGTCTCCAGTCTTTCAGTTATTACCTATCATCACAGTCTTTTTATGTCCTTTCTATTACAGTATGCAGTACGCATTATGAAGTCTTAAATTCCTATGTGTATTTCCATTCAGCAGAAAAACTTTTTGTATCAGGTTTTCAATGGATATCCTATGTGTTCTACCTCATTCATTCTCTCACTAACATGCTCTGAGCTATAGAATGAAGGAAACATAAAAGGTAATATTTCTATAAGAGTTCAGCAGTAAGAAGATGGAAAAAACATTAGCAATGAAATGTCTCCTCTTTCATTCCATCTGCTGTTTTTAAATGCAATCAATACCACACTCACAGCGAGGTACTGTGGGCCAAGTGCTGCAAGGTTGTTAGCCGAGGCAACGTTCCATAGGTTCTGAGTCACTTGATGGAGACGTTTTGCATCCTTCTCTTTTTGGGTATCGGCAAATTTCACCACAAGTGGAGAAGAACAACCCTGAGAAAGTAAAAATTGCCTGAATGTAAGAAATTACATGAAAATCATACACATGAACATGTAAATTAAATTGGATAATGTCTTAAGTGAAAATAGATCTCATTATAAACATATACAAGACAACTAATATTTAATTTTTAATTACATGTACAGTAGTTCTTAGAGGGAATCCCTTAACTTTGAAAATAACTGTCTATTCTCTAATAGAAATCCTTTGTACAGTACATCAATGTGTGGAAGTGATTTTTCCTTCATATAACAATACAGAAATATAAAAAATACCAATGCTTATCAAGAGGAGTTAAAAAGAGCTACCTGTAATAGGAATAAAAACCAATACAGTATAGGTATGCTTCTTTCACAGAATATGTTTTCTTGAACTCAATGAGTTGAACTTAAGAGTGCAAAAAATATATTGCACTGTAAATACAGTACCTGACTACGAGTGCAATATGAACAATGGTTATCATGATAGGAGTCATAATATGATCATTTATTGGGGGCACATACAAAAATATTTAATGAAAATTGGAAATATTAATTATTGGTTTTCAGGTATTGCAGTCTATGGAACAAAACCTTGAATTGTGTACTACAATAAACATGAAAATTAAAAAATAAAAGTGTTCAGCTCTGAACAGACATCTTCCTTGAATGCAAAGCTATGGTCCTTTTGTTTATGTACAAAAAAAAAGGTCACATAACACTTATAGTGTCTTAACCAGATTCTTCGTCACGGGTTTCAGAAAACAATGTTAGTGGAGTGTAACCCAACTTTTTTTTTTATTGTACCGATATTTAATCTAATCCAAAACTTTCCTCAGAATTAAAATCTCAGAGCTAGAACATACAATAAATTGTAAATATTGCAAAAACTTTGAATTTGTATCATATACAGTACTACATAAATCAACCAATTTAATGAATACAACAAAGACTGTACAGATTAGCAGTGTCTGGCAGCCTGGCACGCCTAGACTAGTAACTTATGTCAGATGCAGGTAATTTAACTCACCATTAAGCCACTTGTCATGTAACATCATAACTCCTGTTACCTCATGTCTACAGGAATAGGCAGTAGGCAGCTATCAAACAGGGAGGTACTACTGCCTGGGAAGATATTGGAAGCATAATGTGTTATCTAATGGTAGACCCTGATGCCATATGGCATCACAAAAATTTTAACCAAATCCCAGGTTGCTGATGTGCCTTTCTGCCTCATTTACACATAATTGCTGGGTCTCAAATGTTTCTCTTTCTTTAACAACACAACATACATGTATCGTTTCTCACTTCATATTTATTTTTTATTTTTTTCCATTTCTTTACTGTATATTTATGGTTCAATCCCCCCCAATCCCCAAGGTAGGTCAGTGACCTGTGCCTGGGTGGGCTAATCCCCATTGACTGACTAACTAGAGTTGGGTTGCATCTAGTCAATCTGTAAACTTGTCAACATTTCAAAGGAAACACCAAGCTGAGAGGCTTACGACCTCACATGACAAGTGTTACTGCCAATGACACCAGATTATGGGTGGGAGATTGGGGGGGGGGGGTAGGGTAGGTGTTCACAAGCGTCACCTCTACCTCCCTCCAAACCGTGCAGGTGTGAGGGGAGTTGACAGGAATTATGAAACCACATGACACGAGTTACCACCACTGATGGATGGACACAAGTGATCTGCGAGTTGTTACACACAATAAATATGAATGATTTTAATATGTTTATTTAACTTTTATCATAAAAATACACAGGCAAGCAAAGTACCTCCAAAAAATTTTCAGGGCAAGTACCAGTAAATTTCAAGTCACTTGCTCAGAACAAATAAATGTTCCACATAATCTGCACAGCCTGATACAATGAAATGTTTAAAATAATGATTAGAAAGTATGGAATATGTTTTATATTTAGTGAAAATAACTACAGCTTAATTCCCAGTGGTTATTGTACAAACCTCCATCGTCTGTGAGTGATGCATTTTTTTGATGGCATTGATGGCACACTGACGAGAAGAAAATGTCACAAAGGCACATCCTTTGCTCTGACCACTAGCATCTCGTAAAACTGTACATTCCTCAATGGTTCCGTGAGATGAGAACATAACACGTACATCTTGTTCGCTGTATCGCTTACTTAGCATACCAATAAAGAGCTTACGTTCTGAAATGGAAGATTCTACGGTCATTTAAAAAATTAAAGACTGCATTATACTGTAAGTGTAATTGGTAATAAATATAAACTATCACTGTAAACAGGTATGCTGGAATATGAACATGAGGGCACTGCAACACTAGATACCGTACAGTACCTTGGAAGAGTGAAGATACATTAACACTGGTTAAAAGATACACACGAGAAAAATTTCAAGATATATTATGCTGAATGAAATCTTCAAAGGAAAGTATTTGATGTTTGTAATTATGTTACAGACTGTAGTGATGGGGGATGTGATGCATATCTGAATCATGTGCAGTACCAATACAGTAAGACATGCATAAAGAGCACATCTATTGTTAGGTGAGAGCATGGCAAGTGAAATGGGAGATACCGAGTTGGATTTGAAAAAAAAAAGAGGGGGAGATGTTACATCTTAAAGAATGAATAATGAAATTAGGAATTGCCTTTCTAGTAATCAGAGGATTGAGACATAGATTACTGAGATATGATAAGCAACTGTGGATCTTAAGCAGCAATATTAAGCCAAAAGCTAAATAAACTTACCATTCCTGTTCTCCGTGTCAGCTGGTTTCATTTGAATTGGATGGTGCATCTGGAATATGATAGTGCTTTAGTGAATGTAAATATAAAATTCTAAAATCTACCAGTATACAGTATAAAACTTAAAAGTAACTTGTCCAGTATCCCTCAACAAAAAACCTCATACAGTACTGTATATAAACAGTATATGAATTTTTAGCTTAAAAAAAGGTGTATGTACAGGGCCATGGAAGTAAAAGTGGATCCTGTAGGCCTGAAAACCCTTTACGGGAAGTGTGAATACACTAAGACTAGTACATCTGAGGTAGTGTTGTAGCACTGCAGTCAACCACCTTTACTCCTGCAACTATACAGTTGGTTCCCATTCACAGCTGGGTGAGCTGGGGTGCCTCAGACACAAACCAATAACTCGTAGGACTGAGACAAGCATTGTATTCACTGCTGTCACACAAGGCGATAACCCTTTGTCAAAATTTAAACAGTATCAAGATTATACAATAAGTGCATCTTTAGTTAGTACCCACTTTTTTTGCATATTTTCAATAAATTCAGTAAAAACTATAAGATAAGTACACAAAGTTTACTTATTATATTAAATGAGCTTAAGTATAAAAAGGCTCTTAATCCTGTTAAAAACTGAGGCAGTGTCAAGATAATTATACTGTATTCACTTTGTGACTATTAAGAGAGCATAATTTTGTTAAATGATGCCAAAAAAATTGGTAAATGAGCCAAGTCTGTATGGGTTACAACTAGTATGGTCAAATTGATGTAGGATACATGTTACACAAAATTGAATGTGCATTTTCAGTTTAAGACCATCAAATGCATAACGTTTACCCAAATTCTCCTGAAAACAGTATATCTACCGGTAGTTAGATTTTTTTTTTACAGAGGGTCAGATGGATAAACAAGGTGTATTTCCATATCCCATGCCGAGTAGTGAAAATGATAAATATTCATATTAAGTACTGTACCAAAGGTTACAAATACAGGGTATTCCAAAATATCAAATTATAAATCAATCAATACTGTATGCCATCCTCAGGTCTGAGAGTTGGCAACCATGGCCCATAACACCAAATGTTTTTGAGCTGTCTTTAGCATTCCTCCCTGATCAAAACACAACTAGTACAGTGAATAACTGTGACCATATCCTGCACACAGTATATTTAAAAATGAATTTGTATCTTACTACCTGTACGGAACCTGGCAAAGACTTCTGGTAAAGCATTGTACAGTATGTGTGTTGTTAACTACCTTCTCTCTTTAGGACTACACTTCTGTTGAGAATAGCACCTAAACATGTCCTCAATATAAGATCAAATTATTGTCCATAAATAGTTTTATAACTGCAGTAAAGAAGTATATTTAACAATAGGATAATTGTTGTTAATTTAAAAAAAAATTACTTACTCCCGGTAATGTCTTGATGTTGTGCATTGCATTCTGTGCTTCCAGGGCTGATTTGCGGGCATAAAATGTCACGAAGCAGCATCCTGAAGAAAGATATAAACCGTAACTATTATCACTACTGTATATTACAGTACTATATTACTGTACTATCAAACATGTGGTGTGGGGTTGGTATGGCCACTTTATTATATTCTGTTACAATAAAGAAACAAAAACAAATAAAAGAAGGCCGTTTTTATGCACATAAATGTAATCAATGACAAGAGTAACTGAATCTGTGATGAACAACAATAATGGGGATGTTCTGAATTTGTATGATGCAAGATGAAGGAAAGAGATATAAACTGGGTAAAAGTAAGTGAAGCTTGTCAGAGGTGTCTGAAAGAGTAAGAGCAAAAGGAGTGGTAGTGTTGTCAAGTGATGAAATGTACAGCTGTGATAGAATACTGTACAGCTACTCCTCGACTTACAACCTACTCGACATACGACCACCCGGACATACGACCCACCGCAGCCGTACCAAAATTTTTTCAAATTACGTATTTTCGAGTCCCGACGTTAGTGATTACGCTGTGTACTGACAAAATTTTCGTTTGTAATTCCCTTTAAAACGGCTGGCAAGCTTAAAAGTGAGAGTTTTGTGGTGCTGAGAAGAAAAAGAGACACCCACTTTAGATTTTCTATGTATTATTTTCCTATTTTCGACTTACGACCTGGATTTGGGTCCCTAACCCCGTCGTAAGTCGAGGAGTGTGTGTGTGTGTGTATATATATATATATATATATATATATATATATATATATATATATATATATATATATATATATATATATATATATATATATATATATATATATATATATATATATATATATATCGTGTTTTAGAGTAGATATACAAAACTTTTTTTCATTTATTTTCATTCTCTTACATGCACACACCATCCTAAATACATAGTGAAAAAAATTCAAAAGAAATAATTGTCCTACGTGCAAGCAAACATGTAATAGGAGGAGAGTGCAGTGTAGCTGGTGGGGAGCGCTGCGAGGGAATCGGTGTCCTAGTTGATCTTCGTTACTATGGTGGAGCAGGGAGTGTATGCAATTGGCAACTGAGTTAAAACTTTCATTTGACTTTTATTTACTGGTTTGGTAACAGTATTTTTTTTTTGTAACTTATTTAATGGTATTATTTTTATTAATTCCTCACATTTCCTGGTACTGTATACAGTACTATATATTATTTTAAGAAAACTATGGCTGTGAAGTGTTATGGTTGTTATTCAACTCCTATTTCGGGTAGCTATACGTAATTTTCTTCATTTATTTATATACTCAGTTACATGCACAAACCATCCTACATATATATTGTGAAAAAAGTACAGTAGTACACAGTAATTAGACATCCTTCATGTTGGGTTAGATGGCTATGAAAGAAATTCTGTAAGTTTGATCTAAGTATTAACCTAGCTGGCGCTCAGATGCCATTCATTCCAGAGACGGTATTTTCTACAAGGAAAATATTGCAATCTGGCAACCTAACCAACCCAACTTTAATAACAAAGCATAGAGTTGACTTGAGGGTAGACTCGCATTTTTTCTACATTTCGATATATTTTGTTGTCTTGTTTATGATTATTTGCGAGAGGATTTTCCCATTATTATTTATTTGTATGTGTTGTGTGTGTATGTATGTGTGTGGCCACACACACACACGCACTGTGGGGGCTTACAGTGGATAACACCGCACCAGGCTACTCATCGCTACAAGGCACCCTGGACAGGCTACAGGCATGGACTACGGAGAACAAGGTCACCATCAACCACACCAAAACCGTAGTCATGCACATCAATACCGCCACCACTCCAGTGCAAGCTCCAGCAGTCACAGTGGGTGCCCATCCTCTCCAGTTGATGCGATCTGCCAAACTCCTGGGTGTTACCATAGACCACAAACTGGACTGGAAGGCCCATGTAAATGACACAATCAAGGCAGCCTCGTACCGACTCTACATACTACGACGACTTAGGTCACTTGGGACACCCACGCCAGAGCTGAGGACTATCTACAACGCCTTTATTCTACCCCAAACTAACGTATGCGTCACCAGCCTGGTCGTCTTCTCTCAACTCCACCCAACAACGTCGGCTAGAGAAGGTACAGAAAAGGGCTTGCAGAATCATGCTCGGCGCAGACTACTCCGGCTACATCAACGCTCTCTCCACCCTGGAAATGCCATCCCTCAGTGACCTCCACCACCAAGCACTAGCAAGGTTTGGCATTGGACTACTGCACCACCCTCGTCATCGCCACCTCCTGCCACCAGCAGTTCCCCACCCACCTCGCGCAGCCAGCCAATTCAACAAAATTCAGCCCATAAGAGCCTGCATCGATAGATATTATTATTATTATTATTATTATTATTATTATTATTATTATTATTATTATTATTATTATTATTATTATTATTATTATTATCATTATTACACACACACACACACACACATATTACTACTACTATTACTTTGCTGTCACTTGGAATCGAGTATGACGATCATCCAGGTATGATACGAGTTATTAGGGATGCCACCTTCATTGGTGAGTTTTGAGGTGACGAAAGAGGCCGATACAGGACCGGCAGGGTCGTTCACAGATGTTGCACATGTGGAGGGCTACATCGAGTGCAGGAGGGGCGATGGCAGCGTCTAGTGACAATTGATTTTATGTCCCTACTTTAATGAAATATATTTTATGTACCAACTTACTCTTTCATTGTCTTTTTAATTCTTTATGTTCATTTACTTATTTATTTATTTACTTATTCTTCTTTCTCTTTTGTTACACTCATGAGAGGTGGAGAGGGTGAGGGAGGTAATTGTTTACGTTTGAGGAGGGTGTGAGGGGAGGAGGAGTACAAGACTAACGGTTTGTGGTTAGGCTAGAAAGGCCTACACCAAGGGAAGACTCAGGGAAGCTGGTTATGGGGACTAAGATATCAATACTTCAGAGGGGATATAGGATATTTATTATACAGTATATATAGGACTCGCTGTATTACTGCATAATACCAAGACATTTATAACACATCATTCTTTCTTATTAAGGGAAGGATGAATTAGGACTCTTATTACTATATTCATTGAATTAGGGTTTAACAGCTACACTTCAAAATAATAACCTATGTTCATAGGTAGTTAAACGGGGACCACGTATGTCACAACAAATGGGAACTCAAGGATTTACCAAATAAAATACACCAAAATACTTGCCATGTCGCCACCACAGACGTCCCACACCTCCCTACACAGAATTCCAACACAGACCCTCTCTTCAAACTGAGTGAGCCTACAAGGGACGCTAAAACTTTCATGCCGTCACGCCTCATAGAATTTCTCATTGATCAAAGACAGGCCTAAGGCCTTCATACTATTGGCTTAAAATTGGCGGGAACTCTCAAGTGGCGGGAAACTCATGACATTGTTACAGTCTTTCCGGCATTGATGCTTGTCTGCCTCGATTCGTTATTATGGTGGAGCAGGGAGTGTATGCAAATGGTGACTCTGTTAAACTTTCATTTGGCTTTTATTTGCTAGTTTGGCAATAGTACTTTTTGAGGGTAACTTATTTAGTGGTATTGTTTATATTAATTCCTCACATTTCCTGGTGCACACACACACACACACAGACAGTACCGGTAAAAGAAATAACTGTCATAAGGGCAAACAGATAAAGGTAACATACATTTCTTTGCACACAGGTAAAAATGTAACCCCCCCCCTACCCCGGGTCAGCAACTGATATTCGTTGAATTGGCAATTCGCAGCCATTTTTGAGACCCAAACCCTGCAAATTTTAAGGGAATGCTGTACACAGAAAATCAAAGTCGGAAGTATTCAACATACTATATTAGGTAAATGAGAAATTGATAAATACTGTCCAGAATTTTTTCTGAGTGAGTGCAGCCTGATTAAAATTTATTAAGAAATTGGGACCCGCTTCCCAGTAAAAGCAGGATTACATCAAGAATGTCTTAAAGTCATCTTGGTTGTTTAATGTTCTTATGTGCAGGGAACATGAGAAGTGGAAGCAAGAGTGATAGAGAGATGTGGAAGTTTGGGTGAGTAATGATTTGGGATGTAAATAGTGGCGAGTCAACTGAGATATGAAGTTGATATGTCAAGCAAACAATACAAAAGAACAATTACAAATGTTCATGAATGAGTTCAGAGAAGTAAAGAAATGGAAATGGGGAGAAAAGGGAGACAAAGAAAAATGTAAACAGTATTAACTTGAATGGAAAATCAAGGAAGTGAGCCATTTCAGATATCCGGAAATGGTTGTATCAGCAAATGGGACTATGAATGATGAAGCATTGTGTAGCATAGAAAAGAAAGAATTCAGTAAGTAAAGTATGAAACATAAGTGGAGAGAACCATATCAAAGAAGGAAAAGATGGAGACATACAGGGAAATGTTTTAGCTGACATTATTATGTTGGCATGGAGTATGAACTCTGTATGCAAGAGGAAGGGGCAAATCATAAAAGACAGAAATAATGCACTTGAGCACAGTAAACACAGTACAGTACTGTACATAGAATACTGCACAATAATAAAAGAAATGCAAAAAATATGGGAGATATCAAAATGGAGCATACAGTACTGTATGTTGAACAGATAGCAGTCTCGGTCTGCCTTGGTGGTATGAGCATGGTGAGAATTGAGTGATTAATAAAAAAAAAAGGGTATAATTTAGAAGAGGGAAGAAGTAATTGGTGCAGGATATAATAGGAGTGGGAGAATGAACACCCAAAAATCTGGAGTGCACTGGTGAGGAAAGATATTACAATAGATATAGAGGAACACATCTTTTAAAGCAGTAAGAATAGAGAATGACAATGAATGAAGGGAGATAGTGTTTCACTTTGGTATTCTAATCTTGTTAATGCCAGATGATTCTATCCAGCTAAAAGAAACCCCTACCACTAATTGGTTTAAGCAGTAAAAGACTGAATAATAATATTAACCACAAATTTATACATAATTTTCTCAATAGTACCAGGTACAATATCACATGTGAAAAT